TTTTTTTCTCATAATGGCTATTAGCAGTGCCAGAATTGGCTGCTATGTCGCAGATTGCTCATCCAGGTTCTTGCGGGTTTGGTGGCTGTCAGGAGCCATGCTTAGCTAAGATCTGTTGATACAAGCTCAAGCAATCATTGAAGACATGTTTTGCAATTAGTATGACTTGTTCAACCAGAAGACTGATGAGAAATTGGAGCTCACTCAAAAGATGGAGATCTCAATAACCATGCAGGCATTGCTTTCGATGGAACAAGCTCTGTTGTAATGTACAGAGGTCTTAAGAGTTCAATGCCTTACGATGCTCCCATTCCTAGCTGCATCTTCCAAAAAGGAACAAGACTCAGGTCAGTACTTCTTTCAAGAAAAGGGTGTCAACCAAGACAATAGGTGTCTTTGACTTCCGTGCCATTCATGCAACAGACTGGCACATTTCTATAATGCCTGGACTGCGATTACTACCAATTCCTGGATCCTCAATACTGTGTGGAAGGGGTATATCCTAGAATTTGAAGAATACCCTCCAAATGAGATATGTCACATTACTCCCCTTTCCAATACGTTACTTGATGAAGCTTCCCCTCTGCTCAGGAAAAGTGGCATCGAACCCATCCAGACTGCATTGATGGATTGTGGTTTCTTCTTCCAGTATTTATTGTGATCAAGAAAGATGATGGTCTTCAACTGATTGTGGGCCTCAGGGATGTTGTTGCTTACATTCTACCCAAACCTCAGTTGTTCTGTTACAGAGCGAAAATTTGTGACACCTAATCTCACAGTGTTTATTGTCATATAGGGATTTGTCCTTCACACAGGTGACTCCTGTCATTTGCTGTGGATGGAAAAGCATAGCATTTCAGCATTCTCTGGCTTGTCTATGGCTCTTTATGTCCTCACAAAGTACAGCTGTTGTTGCTTCATGACTCAGACAGAAGGGTATACTTGTATTCTCAACATAAATGGTTGGCAGCCTGTGGGTTCAAGACCAGAATGTCTCAACAATATCACCTACTCTTCCGATCTCCTCACTTCATTGGGCTTTGTTGTCAACTTGAAGAAGTCCTCCTGGGCGCCACATCATCAGGTGAAGTTTATAAGCATCAGTCTTGATTCCACGGTAGTTTTTGCTTATGTTCCAAATGAAATGGTTTGAACCCTACTTTGTACCACTTTACAGTGTTGGCACACTCACATGTTGTCAAGGACTGTTTTGGTACTTCTCAGATACATGGCTCCTACTACAGTGCATCTTGGAATACGTCCACTACAGGCATAATTTCTTTTCTCAGTTCGATCCTCGCATTATCTCTCTTTGCTTTCTCTCACCATGCTGAGAGTTTATTAGTCCATAGAGTCATGGCTTAATCATGGCCACATTCAAGCAGGTATGCCCAAACTATTCGTACACCCCAGTGTCTATGGAACTATGTTTAGTTGGGAATTTGCTGTATTGTAGTGCTGGTGGGTGTAGGGTTACCTCCAAAAATCTTGCATATTCACTCCACAGGCACAGATAATTCCATTTGTATGAGTTTGTAGATGACCACTCAGAGAACTACAAAAAATGATATGCAACCTGTCCTTTCCATGAAGCTGGATGAGTGAAGTTAACTTCCACCTCACACCATCACCACAGTAATTTCAAGTTGTTGGTCTACTGAGAATTCTTGATCTTTTGTTTTAGAATCGGATCATGCCATTGTGTTCAACACACCTTGCTTTTTACTCTGACTTGTGTTGTTTTGCTGTAGTTGTATACTATATATTATTTATATAGTATATTGTTTTTGCTATTCTCCTTCGGTCATCCCCTTCCCCAGCTCAGTGTTGGGTTTCTTTTTCCCCATATTTCCTTCTATCCTTTCTATGATACAGACAGTCCCTAGGTTACGAACAAGATAGGTTTTGTAGGTCTGTTCTCAAGTTGAATTTGTATGTAAGTTGGAACAGATATATTTTTAAAGTGTAACTCCAGCAAATAAATGTTTTTAGTTTTACAAAGCATAGGAAAGGGTTAACACTCCTGTAACATTTGTTTTGCTGTCTGTACACATGTTCAGAAGATTTCACCTCACTTTCTGTTCCTGTGACAATTGGATTTTGAACATTTTGGCTTGTTGTGGAAACAAGAATTGGATATAAAGCTTCAGTGGAGACAGCTTTTTCCTATGATTATTCTTGCAGGAGTGAAGTTCCCTTCTTTGGGGTTGATTTTCTCTCACGTCTTATTCTCTCACAGACAGGAAGTGAGATTAAATCTTTCTAATGAGGCTACAGATAGTAAAAAAAAATCACAGTGGCTCTAACGCACACCATTCTAACCAAAACTAACCAAATAAAATCTGCATGGAATTCTACTTTTAATGCAAATTGGATTGATGTTCATTTATTTTTACCTGTGCATGTGAATGCTTAAACATTTTCAAATACTGCAAAAGACCTGGAGTGTGCTGTTGGTTGGCACGTCCACTCCCAAACCCACCGAGCTCCGCCACGACCACACACATGCACACATGTTCTTAAGTAGGAATTGTATTTAAGTCAGATGTTTGTAACTTGGGGACTGCCTATATTTGCATGTGTATTTTTTACCCTTGCTGGACAAGCGTTCAGATGTAAAAAGGTTTAACATGCCTGACCTAAACTGTTTGGGACCAGCTATTTGAAGGAATGCTTGCAGTTTGAATAGCACCCTCAGTCTTTGCTTGAGACCTTGCTTGTATAGACCTACCCAAAAATATGAGATTATTGAGCACTGGAGACAAGGATTTTTCAGCAGTGACTCTTCATTTAGGAAGCTTCCTTTCTAGACAAGCATAGTATTTTATGTTGATGTTTTAGATGGGCTCTAGATACACTTTCTTTGATACTTTTCAACTGTCTTTCATTATCATTTTAATGTCCTGTTCTTAATATTTTTTTCTCTCATTCTGAATGAGACATGCAGACCTTATTTAACTTTTCTCCCACAGTAAAATATTTCTACATTTTGCTTTTCTGTAATATGATAAGAAAATGTGTGCATTTTAGAACATTGTAAAACTGCTTGGGGGCCTATAAATACCAAAATGAACATTTAGCAAAACATTGCATACATATGCACACACACACTCACATTGGATATGTCGTGGAATTGAGGGATACACAATAAATTCATTTAGTGCCTCCTATTTATTATGCATTATATGTAGAAAGTTGTAATAGAAAATAACATTTTGTACATTATTTCCTCAGTTACTGCACTTAATCTAATTATTTTTATTAAATATGGCCTGTTCGCCTAAAGTATATGTATGATAAAAATATATGGGGTATTGTCCCAGCTATACTGTAGTTACTTGAAATTGCAGATGCAATTTCAACCGAACACCATTAAATTACCCAATTTCTAGCCTCAGTATACCAGTGAGTCACTCAGGAGGATCTAGAAATTCCTAGAGAGGTATCCTCTGTAAGAATTTGCTAGATCCTACAGGGCAACTCTTTGATAGCTTCATGTTGAAAGAGAAATATTAAAACGTTTTAGCCTGTGTGTTCGGTTTTGTATAGAATGTGAACACATCAGTGATAAGTATTGGCCTCTAGCCCTAGACGATGTGATTTGAATACTGAATTGAATTACTTATTGAGGGGGTGGGGAGAGAGAAAATGTTCAAGTTGTCCTTGGGTTTCTTGATTAGGATTAATGCATAGTAAGAAAATGTGTCAGCATGTTGGACACACACACACACACCTCCCTATTAAATTACAATGGGATTTCAATTTATTCTGTTTGTTCTTAATTGCTGGTGAGTGTGGTTGACCCACCCTGTGTTATATGTATCAATAATTGGTCAGCTTGACAAAAACCCTATAGTCGACACTGAGATATTAAAAGGTAATTCCATCATATAAATTCTTTGTCAAGTCCACAAGAAGTAATGGCTGAGAGAATTCATGTAAAAATGGTCTTCGCTTTTTGGAAAAGCTGCATCTTTCTAAAACCATAGCAATCTGAAAACAGCCTGACGCTTTCAGGGCTGTACACTTTTCAAAGTCGACCCCAGTATTATTCTTTCTTCATATATAAAAACTCTTCAGTCAGTATTTCAGAAAGTCTAAGTGTTTTATGGGATGATGTGATACATATTTTTAATAATGATTTTTAAATATGTGATTAAAAACATCAATATGCTATGGTGTAGGTTGGCTATCCCTTATCCAGAATTCTGAAATAGCCCAAAATCCCAAATTGTCCATATGGGTGGCTGAGATACTGGCACTTTTGCTTTCTGATGGTTCAGTAGACACAAATTTGTTTCATGTGCACAATTCTAAAAAAAAAAATGACATTACTTAAAGCAGAGTTTTCCAAATTCTGTTGCAACTTGTTAGTTTGTCGGCTGCAGTTTGTAGGCAAACAAATGCAATGAGAAACCTTTGAGTCTATATAAAATAAACAATAAATCATATGGTTTTAAAAATAGAATTGAAAGGTCTTCATGAGATATGTAGTATCCCATACATTTCATTATTATCATTTTTTGTATGCATCTGCATTTCTTCTAAGAAATTGGTTTAACTTCTAGTTTGCTAATAAAACTGAATTACTGCATCACAAAATGATGCATATCTAAAAAGTGTGTCACTGACATGAAATATTTGGAAAGCTCTGATCTTAGATGTATATGAAATATAAATGAATTCTGTGTTTAGATTTGGTCTAATCTTCAAGATGTCTCATTTGTCTGTATATGCAAACACAAGTACTCCAAAATCCAAATAAATCTGAAATCCAACATTTGAGGTCCCAAACATTTTAGATAAGGTATTCTCAACCTGTAGTGTAAAATTAGTTGAGCGAGATAGTGCTACTTAGTGGCAGTAGATGTTAAATGTCTTCAAGATGAATACATTCAATTTTATAAGAGCTTACATGAAAATGAAAATAATAACTACTAAAATTTTATCTATTCTTCAAAGTATAATTTACAGAACTCTATACTATCTTCTTCTTTTAGAACATTGAAAATGGAAGATTTGGAAAACTAAGATATTTTGCACATGCAATGGTTAATAATACAGATTTGCTAATGTTAACAAAAAGGTAAGGTTCCCCTTTTTTCTGGCAAATTTGTACGAGCTATTTTTCTTCCTTCACTTTTAATTACCAAATGAACCAATGAACTTGGCCGCATGTTGGGGTCTTACGTCTTGATAAGTAGACTTATGTCTGTGAGAATTATAATTGGGCAGTTCCATTACAGAGCTAACAAACTGACTAATACGTAATGCACAACAGGATATGCTTGTAATCGTTTTGTTAATAGCTATTTTGTAGGTATAAGAGTCTAAGAAGCGTAAGATTTTACATCAATAAAACCCTTATTTATTCACTTAAAGAGTGCAGAATTCTAAATATGTAGGTGTCCTAACTGAAGTAATTAAAATTCCATGATATATTGATGAACAAATTACGTAATAATGATCTGTACTGAACCAAAATGCCTGATCGCCTAACGTATATTGCTGTTGACATTTCTTTTCCATATTTTTCTCCAGAATTATTTATATGCAAACTGATCTCTTTGTATGTTGATTTTTACATCTGGTAAATAGGAAGCAGTTTTTCAAGCTGACTGGTTTAATTTAAAAGCACATGTACTGTATATAGATGTGCAAACATAGTTGATTTAGTGCACGAGGTGCCCTTGGACAAAGAGTAGTTTGAAGCTCTTAGTTAAGTTGAGAAAATATTGAAGAGGATGACCTAAAGATCATTTAAAAATAATTACATTATTGCATTTCTATTTGTAATATTTTAATATTTTTTTTGCATTTTTGTTTAGTGGTGTATTGTTTGTGACAAGAGGTACATTTGGACAGTTAACATGTGAATGGCAATATACATATGATGAATTTACCAAGGAGCCATTCATTGTTGATGGACGGAGGTTGCGCATTGAAGCAAAGGTATGAGAGTTTGCATGCTTTGCATATAATAAAACAAGATATTGCCTAAAATCTGGTGCATGTTTCATGTACTGTAAATACATACCAGTATAGTTGCATTGGATTTCACAATTGTACAAGCTAATGCCATAGGATGAAGCTCATTCTTTTGATAATAATTGTTTAGCTTTCCACCCCTCAGGTCAGATATTTTTGTGTTATTGTAATGGATTTTGACAATTATGTTGGCTTCCAAAAGTTTTAAAAATATATTTTTTCTTCGTGGTCTCTGTGAATGCACACTTGTGGAGAGACTGCGCCTGCGCGGGCTCCAACGGAAACTTCTCTAGTTTAAAACTTTTAAGTTTTGGCGGTAACCCCGCCCAGCCCTGGCAGGGCATAAAAGGGCACCCCACGCGTACCCTCGCAATTCCTTTTTTCCCGCCGCACGGCTCACTTCGGCTCTTCTGAGATGTCAACAACCAGATTCAAAAAATGCACGAATTGTTCAAAGAAGATTCCTGACTCCGACAAACATTCCCTTTGTCTTTTGTGTCTCGGCGAGGCACACATTACTTCTTTGTGCTGACATTGTCAAGCGCTGACGGCACAATCCCGTAAAAATCAGGTCCATCGTCTTCGATACCTACTTTACCAACAAGCATTGGCTCCGGTACCATCGACATCGACACTGGCGTCGACATCAACTTTGGCGTCTCGGCCATCGGCTTCTACATCGAGAGCAGCGCGGTCCGCGTCATCTCGACCATCGGCATCAACAGGGGCGTCGACCTCGTAGTCTGTCGAACCCCCTCCCCAGGCCGCTCCTTGCCAAACTAGGGCGAAGAAGGTAGCGCAGAAAAGGCCTAGGGCAGCTATGTCGACAACCTCCAAAGCCACGAGGCCGGCAAGACAGGCTGAAAAACCATGCACGGTTACCACCGAAACCGTACGCATTCGACACTCTTCGGCCAGTTCCATTGCATCAGTGAGATCGATTAGATCCACGAGATCGACGTCGGCGACCCCACCATTCTCTACGGCGGTTCGTATCACCTTTCGCCGGGCTCAAGAAGAGTCTCGGCGTGCCTCGGCCTCTCCCTCCGTTCCGCCCACCCCGGGCAAGTCTCTCTCCAATTCAGCACAGCTTCCGGCAAAGAAGAAGATGATGCCACCTCCTTCCTCGTCTTCTTCCTCTCGACGGCAAACTACAGCCTCCTCGGCCACCTCGTCATCAAGGTCGTCGCCGATACAGTCGGCCCAACCGGAGCCCATTCCTCAGCCTACTCAGGAGGAACATCGGTCGACAGAGGTGCCCGTAGATCGACCAGGATCCCCTGTGATTTCAGTGGACACGGTGATTGAGGCACCCGTTCGTCTTGTGACTGCCAGACAGGAGCTTTTCCCGACTGTGACAGCCAGACAGGAGCCCCTTGCTACTGTGACGGCCCGACAGGAGACCCTCCCGGTGATGGAAACACCAGAAAGGGGCAGACAGACCACAAGGCTGGCGCGTGCCGTACAAGCTTCGGCATTGAAGCGTCCTTCGACCGCCCTGCCGGCACAACCATTACGAGATGTTTCTTCGTCCCCTCCTCCTCAGTCGATGATAGCCGACGAAGAGGAAGAAGATGGCGAGATACCGGGATTGGTCCACTCGGGCTCGGTATTGTCTCTCAGGATCGAGAGATCGCCTACTCACGAAGCGTATGACGTTGACCCGCCATCCCCTACAGACAATGTGCGCGCCTTTGCTGACTAAATGGCCCGCATGGCAGAGACTCTGGGCCTAGAGGTAAAACAGACCTCTAAGGCGGTAGCGGATCCGGTATTCAAGAGGGTACAGTCAGAATCTCCGCCTGCTCCCCTCCTACCTTTCCTACCCTACCTTCTCGAGGTCATCCAGAGTTCCTGGAAAACCCCTTCCTCCATCCCACCCACATCTAAGAGGATCGAGGCATGGTACAGGACGGACGACAAGGGCCTGGAGTGGATCAAACGTCATCCCAATCCAAACTCCGTAGTTGTTAAAGCTGCCCAGGCGTTTGGAAGGCAGTCATCGACACCTTCAGACCGAGAAGGAAAGAGGTTCGACGCCGTGGGCAGAAAACTTTACTCTGGCACCCTCTTGTTGGCCAGGATGGCAAACTATGGCGGCATATCAGCAAATTCTCTGGGAAAAAGCAACGCCCTTCTTCCAGAGAATGTCGGAGGAAGATCGCACTGTCCTCTCCACTTTGGCCCAAGAAGCGAACTCTTTAGCGCATCACCAGATGCAATGGCCAAACACACGGGAGATACAGCAGGGAAGATGATCGCACATGCGATTGCCATTAGAAGACATGCCTGGCTCCGTTCCTCGGGCCTTTCGACATCGTCGCAGCAGGTTATCGAAGACCTCCCTTTTGATGCCCTTGGTCTCTTCAATGCAGGAACGGACGACAAACTTAAGTCAAACCAAGACTTTAAGATTTTGGCTACCAAGTGCGGCATTGAAAACCAGTCGCAAGCACAAAGGACAAGGTGGTTCCAATACAAGCGTCGGCACACAGTCCCATACCGAACAACACAGTACCGCCAGTCCTTTCGACCCCTGCAATCATCCCAGCAAACCCACCCTCAACAGTCTCAACAGCAGAGACAGCAACCTCAACAGCAGCGTTCGAGGTCTCGCCAGCCGTCGGGAGGAAACCAGGCCAGACATCGTGTTTGACGCCTTAATGGACGATACCGTCTACAGATCCGGTACCGATGCCGTTCCCATGCCCCTCCCATCGAATCCCGACCTCGATTCTCTGCCAGACCTCACACCCTTTGGCGACCGCCTAACAAGATTCTTCCCTGCATGGCAAGATATCACCTCAGATGCATGGGTCTTAAAAGTTGTAAACGAAGGCTATGCATTGGAGTTCGAAGAACTTCCCCCAACAGGATATATTGTCGATACCGAACCATCGTCGGCAATTCTCTCAGAGGTGGATACCCTGCTGCTGAAAGGGGCCATTTCTCCCCTCCCGGACTATCTCAACGACCAGGTTTTTTTTTCTCCAGATATTTTACTGTCCCCAAGCTGGATGGCTCCCTTCGTCCAATCCTCGACCTCAGGGACTTGAACTCTTACATCAAACCCTGAAAGTTCAGAATGGTGACTGTATCGTCCATACTTCCCCTCCTCAAACACGGAGACTTCTTTGCGTCCGTCGACCTTCGAGACGCATATTTCCATCTTTCGGTCAGGAAACATCACAGACACTTCCTGGCTTTCAGAGTGGCAGGACAGACTTATGCCTTCAATGTACTCCCGTTCGGGCTCATAACGGCACCGAGAACTTTCACCAAATGCATGTCGGTGGTCGCAGCAGCCCTCAGAAGGGAAAAAATCCACATTTTTCCATACTTAGATGACTGGCTGTTGTCGGCCCATTCCCCAAGCCTGCTACGATACCAGGTTGCAAGAACACTCTCCCTTCTCGACGTCTTGGGTCTCCAGCTGAACAGGGAAAAAATCCCATCTGGAGCCCACGACACGCATAAAGTTTATCGGCGCCATGTTCGATTCTCTGTCCCAGTCTGTGTACCTTCCGGAAGAAAGGTTCAAAGCCCTGCGTACCGAGACCCTCAGGGTTCTTCGGTCCCGCGTGATCCCGGCAAGACAGATACAAGTCCTCCTTGGACATATGGCCTCCACGGTGATGGTGACCCCGCTGGCAAGACTCCGCTTCCGTCCCCTCCAAAGATGGTTTCTGGACTCCTTCAACCCCATAAGAGACAAACCATCGAAACGTCTGCTGGTCCCGCGCTCGGTGAAGCAGTCTCTGAACTGGTGGATGAACGAGCAACATGTCTGCAGCGGCATCCCTTTCCATCCCGACCCTCCATCCATCACCATCACAACAGATGTGTCGATGTTTGCATGGGGATGCCATACAGGAGAACTCTCGGTCCACGACCTATGGACCCCAGAGGAAAGGCAGTGCCATATAAACTACTTGGAATTACTGGCGATCTTCAAAGCCCTGAGAGCCTTTGCCCTGCTCGTTGCCGGAAAAACTGTCCAAATTCTTTCGGACAATATGGTGGCGATGTTATATGTCAACAAACAGGGAGGCACGGGTTCGAGAAAACTGCTCAAACTATCCCTAGAACTATGGGATTGGTGTGTGGCCAGGTCGGTGTCGATAACGGCCTTGCATCTCCCAGGTGAGTCCAACACCGAGGCGGACGCACTCAGCAGAACGAAGTCAACCTCACACAAATGGAGGCTGAACCCACAAGAGCTGACAAAGATCTTCAACAATTGGGGACTTCCAGCAGCCGACCTCTTCACATCTCCCCTGAATGCTCAGCTGCCACAGTTCGGAGCCCGACTGGCTCCCGGCACGGTACCGGGATGCCTCGGGGACGCCTTTCTCCTAGATTGGTCGAAGCACCTGCTCTATCTTTTCCCACCCTTCCCTCTCATATCGAAGGTAATCGAGAGGATCCAGGTGGCGCAAGCAGACTGTATCCTGATGGCATCGGAATGGCCTCGACAGCCGTGGTTTCCAGTCCTCCTCCAGCTTGCCGGGGATCGCATGAGACGCCTTCCACTTCGACAGGATCTCCTCTCCAGAGAAGATGGCCTGTTGCTCCATCCCGACCTCCCATCTCTCCACCTCTCGGCGTGGAGGATCCAGTTCTAAGGGCACTCTGTCCAGGTGTCCTTCCCATCTTGGCTGCAGCTCACAAACCGGCGATGAAAAAGTGTTATTTTGCCTGCCTTAGCCGTTTTCGAGCTTTCCTCTCCGGGAAGGGAATCGACGATCCCCAACCCTCGATACCGTCAGTCCTCCTGTTTCTGTTGTCCCTTACCGAACGGGGACTGTCCTTGTCATCCTTGAAATCACATCTGGCCGCCATCTCATGGCAGTTCCAACAAGGAGGGGGTATCTCTCTTTTCAAAGACAGCTCGATAAGATCTTTCCTGAAAGGGTTCAACAATCTTCACCCGCCAGTTCGTCCCCCTACCCCTGGATGGAACCTCGACCTGGTGCTTGCACAACATGTGCGATCTCCCTTTGAACCCCTAGCGACAGTGGACCTGCGACTCCTCTCCTGGAAAGTGGCCTTCTTGGTGGCGATCACCTCAGCCCGCAGGCCGTCGGAACTGGCCGCGCTTAGGGTTGATGAACCTTACTTGATATTTCATGCGGACAGAGCGGTTCTCCGCACGGATGTGTCCTTTCTCCCCAAGGTTGTATCCTCTTTTCATGTTAATGAGGACATTGTTCTTCCTTCCTTTTTCCAGTCTCCCTCTACCCCTGCAGAAAGGAGACTTCATTTGCTCGATGTGAGGAGAGCGTTGTTCTACAGGGACAGGACTTCCCAGTCCCGAAAGACTCAGAGACTCTTTGTGTCTTATGCCCAGGATAAACTGGGCATTTCAATCTCAGCACAGCGCCTCTCCCACTGGATTGCTTCGACTGTCGAGCTGTGTTACCAACTGGTTCGACAACAACCCCCACCTGTTGTTCAGGCCCGATCAACCAGAGCGGTAGCAGCCTCAACGGCTTTTCTAAAGGGGATTTCTCTAGACGCTATCTGTAAAGCTGCTATCTGGAAGAATCCTCAGACATTTGTGTCCCATTACAAACTAGAAACCAGGCATAGACCTGATATGGCCTTTGGGAGGGCAGTTCTAACATCGTGTCCGCCTTAATTCTCCTTAATACCATGTTCTCTGACCGATACCGTGCAATGTTTCGGTACTGTTTGCACTATTATTTTCTATTGTGCCTACGGGTTGCTCAAATGGAGCTTGTTATTACAGTTGTTGAGATGTACTTGCACTTATTACCAAAGAAGCTGTACAGCCTGTTTGACAGGCGGCTGTTTCTCCTGTTCGACTTGAACGCAAGTTGCTTTCTGGGCTCACTATTGTGCCTTATACCATGTTTTTATTCTTGCACATGTTTATGTAACTGTTTAAGGTGCCCTCATCTTGATGAGCATGGTTTTTTACTGTGAATCGGCCATCCACTTTTGGCCTGGGAGGATCACGTACTCCCGTATGTTTACCTGCCGCATACCTTGTGTGCATAATGCGGCTTATTGTTTTTCCCTTATTTGCACTTAATAAAAGTGTTTGGTCCCTTGATTTGATGGTCGGTTTGCTTTCTTCCCGCCTCCGTGACCTCATCTTGCTAATCTCCACAAGTGTGCATTCACAGAGACCACGAAGAAAAATGGTAGGTTACATACCTGTGACCATCTTTCTTCGAGTGGTGCTCTGTGAATTCACACTAACCCGCCCGGCCTCCCCGCAAGCAAACCTCCAATTTTCTCGTTGCCTTTGCGGCGTAGGAATTGCGAGGGTACGCGCGGGGCGCCCTTTTATGCCCTGCCGGGGCTGGGCGGGGTTACCGCCAAAACTTAAAAGTTTTAAACTAGAGAAGTTTCCGTTGGAGCCCGCGCAGGCGCAGTCTCTCCACAAGTGTGAATTCACAGAGCACCACTCGAAGAAAGATGGTCACAGGTATGTAACCTACCATTAAATTGTGTGGCAACTTTTTAAATTATTTGCTGATTTACTGTATTCTTTACATTATCTTCACATTTAACACTTGAGAACAACACAGTCTATAAAAACAAAGAAGCCTATAAAATTTTATAAAAGGGTTTATTGGATTGGGGGGGGGGATATATACATGGAATAACTACATGTGAAATTTCACAGTAAAACCAAAATTTAGACTTCAGCCTTTGCTTCTGGACCCTTTCCTTTTTTTTTTTTTTTTACCTCTACTTGTGTTTAGCCACAGAAAATGAGCCACTGGGTGGGCACTCCTTTGTAGAGTTGGGCCCAAATAACGAAAACATTTGTAGTTTTTGGAGGGAGGTTTTCATATAATTGTTGAAAACAGAAAGAGAGGTGAAAAGACCAGTGAAATGAATTCAGAGAGACAATATTTTTGGAAAGAGTTGAGTCCACAAAATACCCGAGGCAGGGGGGTCTGTGGTGTCTTTTTCTCTCCCCAGCAGAAAAAGCCTCCTCCATTATTTTCTTGGAAAGTTCGCTCCTCCTCCAGAGAGGGTCCTTAGAACTCGCTTTCCCAGTGGCACTAGCATAAACCATCCCAAGTCGCCTGCGGGCTGAGAGGGACGGTATATAAATGCAATAAATAAATAAATAAGGTGGCCATTGAAAGTTCCTCTTGGAACATGATGGGAGGTGAAGGTTTTCTCTCATTGTGTGTCTCTTAGCCAATAAAAAACCTGGTGGTGTCCGTGCCCTGATTAGCTGAGAATGGATAAAACCAGTGACTACAATTCCCAGAACTCTCTCTTGCGGTTTGTCTTATTTTTAAAAATGTTATGCTTTAAACTTAAAATAATTCTTAAAAAATCAGTAGATTGGTGAATTGTTTTGAAACTTGGCAGGCCTGCAGTTGTAAATAGAGTCTACAACAGAAGTAGGTTTTATGCAGATAGGCCTTAAAATGGCTGAAGATTGAGCCTTTAAAGTTCCCCATTGTAGCCAATGGGCCGAATCTCTTCCAAATGAAACTAAAAACACCCCTCCCCTTTCGGGTAATTTTCTGGTAAATTAAATGAGGGGTCAGACGAAAATGAAATGCCTTTTGGCCCAAATGCACATGACTACTCCTTTGTTCAGTATGTACAGAAGAGTATGAAGCAAGAAAGCAGGGAGAATTTCCACTGCCTTTCTTGCCTTAACTGTACACCAATCCCAAGTTCTTTCTCATTCCCATTTCCCAAGATAACAGAATTCAAAATTAGTGTGTAATGGGAATAGTATTTATATGGTCAACCATAAAAAAATAAACATTTATTATTAAAATTGCTCTGCAGCAATATTTTTACCACTCCGAGATCTTGCTTAACACTTCTTTCTAAATCACTGCTTTCAAAAAGAAACTTCAGTCTAGAGAAACTTAACCAACTCCAAACACACAGTCTTTACATAAAATTCATGCAAAACCATTATGATTTGAACATTGAACACTTGCTCTTAAGTGTGACCTAGTTTAATATTAGAGATTTCCTCCTTAATGGCAAAACACTATATGTATTTGTGCAGGCTGGTATGGTATGGTATACTGGTATGGGGTAACTGTTAATTTTACCTAAACAAATTGTACTTCCTAAAAGTTCTCTGCAAGTGAAGGCTAATCAGATGAATTTAACAATCACTTTATCAGCTGCTCGGAGACAAAAAAGTTGTAATTTATTTTCTGTGATTAAAGGAAAGTTAAGCATCCCATCACATGTTCACAGCCATAAGACTAGAAAAAGAATTTAGAAGACAGTGAAGAAGAAACAGAAAAAATATAAGTGGTTTGAGGAGGAGGAGGATACTGTCATATAATGGCTGTCAGAAAGCAGAGGACAATTGGGAGGGGTTTGGTTCTGTGACTATAGCCAGACATACAATGACAACATCACTTCCAGTACCTCCAGAGGCAGTTCCAGAAAATATCCATATTCATCATACATCTAACTGTACATACCTCACCAGGATAATTCCCATTTACCCTTCGCTCTGTATTGATCACTACATAGATGTGCTGAGAGAGAGTTAGTATGAAGAAGGGCTTTCAAGGGGGCTTGCATAAGGGAGGTATGTCAGGATAATTGCAATTATTTCATATATGTTTTTCAATGTGTTAGTATTGTATTTCAAGATGGATTCAGTCCTGTTCATTTTTGTTCACATGTGCAGCAAATTGTTATTGTTACAGAGTTACAGGCCAGACAGTAGAATCTTTGAAACTGTGATAACAGGAATTCCTTTGCTCTGAGAAAAAATAGGGAGTGTACCAGCCAGAACATAGATAAGACAGGAGGGCGGTTTTTCTTTGTCTGTGTGTTTAGAGCTGTACTTTTGCCAGTCGCCATCTTTCCTCATCAACATGTAGTCGCATATAGAAGATGCTTTCAGTAAAGTTTATTGTTTTTGAAACTTAAGAAGTCTGCAGTGTGATAATTGATCTGGAAACCTCAAGTACTCTGTGCATGACCCAGGTGCCACACTCTGACAAGGTAGATAACTTCAACCATTGCAGTACTCAAATAAAAAGCATTATTCAGACATAAGTGGGACTTTGGTCAGTGTTTGCCACCAACAGGATGCCAGACTGATATTAAGCTTGCATATATACTTTTCACAAGTCCTCTGATATTTTCTTTTTCTTTTGTAGGAACGTGTAAAGTCTGTGTTCCATGCCAAAGAGTTTGGGAAAATAATTAATTTTAAAACACCAAATGATGCCAAGGTGAATATTGCATACTTATTAATATACTTCTATACATTTATAACCTAATATAAGAGATTTACCTGGAAGTAACATGCGAGCACAATCTTCAATCCTGAATCACCTGCTCCTGTTAATGTATGCATACTGAACAAATAGCCTTTCCCTTTTCATTTAGTGCATGGTTCTTGTTTGTAGAGATGCCTGTTCTTTTCCATTTAAATTCTTTGAGAATGATAATAGTAGATGTCACGGAACTGCAACCAAACAGGACACTTAATGGGTAACTTACATATAGCCCCTGTATGCTTCAGTTAAGGGGAAGCCTCCCGTTTCTTTTAAGTGAGATGTCTATGTAAGTGCATAGAAACACCAAAATATCCATGGTGGAGTTTGACAGGTAAGGGTTCAGAAATGTCATGTCCATATGGCATATTCCATAATTGATATTCTCTGAAACTTCAGCTCATGTAAGAGTTTGGTAGTATCCTTGTGTCATTTAGAACATATGAATTGTAGAGATGCAGCATAACAGTTCTGCAGATGGAGCTATGCCACATCTTACCTATTTTCTTTGCTGAAGCTCCCCAATACAGACATTTCTTTGCAGCTGGAATGAAGGAGTGGCTGGATGCACAGAGATGTATATTAAGGGATCTCTGTAACCCTGAAGGTTACAGAAACTTCAGCTGGCCCAGAGCTACATCCAGGTTGTTATCTGGGGCTGCCTATAGGGAGCACACAGCCCGCTTGTTGCAACAGCTTCATTGGCTGCCAATCCATTTCTGGGCACAATTCAGTGTGCTGTTTTTATCCTATTAAGTTATATATGGCTTGGGTTACGGTTATTTGAAGGACGATATCTCCCAATAGAGCTCAGGCTCTTTTCTTTGTCCTACCACTTTTCTCTGGCTCATTTGGTTGGAACAAATTAGAGGGGCTTCTTAGTAGCTTCTCCCACATTTTGGAATTCCTTTCCCAGAGTTGCCAGAGTGGCCCCATCCTTTCTCTCCCTCCCATGACAGGCTTTTATAAATTCATAAATAAGTTTGGGTTTTCAATGCTATGTGGTTTTGTGTTTCAGCTTGTAGTACAATTTTTAATGCATTTTGATATTTTAATGTCTAACCTATTTACACTCGTTTGTTTTTAAATCTTACATTGATACTTTTATTAGTGTGTTTGAAATTATATTGTTTTAAACACTTGGAAGGCTAGCTGGAGTGTCATTCTATAAACGAGTAATAATAAGAGCAACGATTGAAAATTATGTAATTTCTGAGAAAAAATTGATTTTGCAGGTCAGTTTTTGTTACTCGCGTTTAGTAGAGACTTCTGATTTTCACAGCAACTAAAAATGCTGAGTTATGATAGCACTGTAACATGATAACAAGGAGCCAACCAGCATCTATACCAGGCATGGGCAAACTTCAGCCCTCCAGGTGTTTTGGACTTCAATTCCCACAACTCCCACAATTCCTAAAAGCCGGAGGGCCGAAGTTTGCCCATGCCTAATCTATACTTTAGTATATTGCTGTATTATCTTATCTTCTGCCTTGGGAGTGTGCTGGAAGCTTCTTCCTTGGAAACTTGTAAACAGAGGCTGGATGGCTATCTGTCAAGGGTACTTTGTGCTTTTCCTGCATGGCAGGGGGCTGGACTAGATGGCCCATGTGGTCTCTTCCAACTCTGTGATTCTATGATTCTATGATCTAGTGATGCATACCTTATTAACATCTAATTGTGTGATTTCCTTTTGAATATTTACAGTGGATTCTCTCAAAACTGGAAGAAGCGAGGGAGAGCCGATCAAATGTATGACTTTTGGTGTAACATTTCCAAAATGGACAAAACAAAGGCTGCATAGTTCAGGCCCCTTGACATTTGATCGCAGCTTGGCATGTTGCACTAATGGCATATGAAGATAATGTGACTGTGATTATTCACATAGATTGATTTTGACTCAAAAATCTGCAGTAATTGGTGTTGAGCAAAGCATTCTGCCAATGAGAATCTCTGCCAAATCGTGGCTTATTGATGCATTATATAAATAATAATAATAAATCAATAATTTTTAAAGTTTTTTTTCTGTTTTGTCATATAGTCTGCAAGGACTAATGCCTAGAGCAGTCTTAATGATGTTATGTAACCATCAGGATCCCCTTTCTCACTTTTAATCTGAGTTTTCTTTCTTCTGTCAGCATTTAGAGAAATTTTAATTTAATAGGTTACAAATTGCATCACATACTAATATTTCACTAAAATCCAGTTTAATTATTCAGGGAACAACTGATTTAACCAGCACTGCTCTTATATTATGAATGACCTGCTGACCAGTTTATTCAAGAAAAGCCTTTTTATTTACTAATATGTATAAATCATGAGGTTACTTAGTTTTTTTATACAAATAACCAGTTTGTGGTACTGTAATATCATTTTTAAAATTCACTTTTTTATACAATGCAAAATTACACAACATGTTCTGGTGCCTCATGAGTAGATGTACACAGAAAAATAAGAATTTATTGAAAAGAGATCATATAAGTAAGGCTGTGTATTTACAATTTGCTTTGAATGGCATGGCCTTTACTTTTAACACTAATTAGAAGTCACAAAAAAGCCTTGTACAGCAGCTTATATTGAAATAGTATTTCATGCAGACTGTCTTTTGGTTTGTATAATATTTTGAGCAAAGAATTATAGATTCTTTCACCATACTGAATGCATCATTTCTAATTTTTAAAAAAACACAATAATTTGGAGAATTTTCATTATCGTCTGCCTTATCATTTAAATTCAAAACAATTCTTAACATTTTTCCATTAAAATGTAGAATAGGCCTGAATGGTGAAATATTACATTGACATTTGTGTGGAAGGCCATGCAATAATGTCTACAAACACTTCATGAAAGAGAAAAGGAATGCAAGTGTATAAGTGTATTACCTAAGTGAAATTTGAATAGTTTGATGCATGTAGTAAATGCCTGCTGCCAGAATATTCTTCCTAAACTGCCGTTTGGAGGATTATGGTGAAGGAGATTAGTCCTTGCTGATGGTGCTTAAGCTACCCAAACTGTAGCTTTGTTGTAAAAGCTAAATAAAGTAAATGGCATGCCAAATGTAATTGTATGTATTTATATAAAGTCATGCTTGCTCCATTATGTAACTACCGGTGATGGTTACAATAACACATTGCAGTCATCCCCATAATATTTTATTCTTTGATATACCAAATGTAATTTTTTTTTAAAATCCCCAAAACGCCAAAGGATGAATTGTATGGTGTCTCAAGAATATGAAAGCTGTCCTGATTCATTGATTTAACTAGCACTTTCATCAGATTTGCACATATGCATTTGCATCTTCAACTGTAGCATTAGCTGCAGGCAACATATATTGAAACTTCTAAATGTATACAATAAATATTTCAATGGCTCATATACTGTTTGAACTCGTTTTCCTTTCATTTGGCTTCTGTTATTTGATTTATCTGTATCCCTGCTGCCTTAATAACAACAGGTTATGTAACTATTAAACTGGCCATGCCATTTTGGTAAGGATTCCATATATAAGATGATAGTTAACCAACAGAGCTAAAAATTGTCATTTTAAACTATTAAATTGAACATTTTCCCTACGCAGAAGAGGGTGATTTTTTAAGATGATGATTTTTTTTTAGTAGTACTGCTTGTCTAGTACTGGAGCAGATAGCTCTGTATCAGAATCAGCAGGGAAACCATCCTGAGAAGATTTGGAAGAGCAGTGAGAAACAGATAGAAATGAAGCCTGCTTATGTGCTGGTTTTCAGGACAAGTAACTGTGACTCTCCAGATGTTACTGGACTACAGTTCTTAACCGCTTTTGTCAACACAGCCAAAGCTGACAATCATCTGGAGAGACACAGCTGCCCAACATCAATCCAGAAGGTGGCATAAAGAACATCTAGATTTTAGGTGAAGGGACACATGTGATCCTCTGAGTTCTGATTTAATAAACTCTTGTCACTAGCCATATATAAGGATCTTAGTCTCTTCTTTCACTCAGTTCTATTTTTCCTTTTCTTGATTCATCCAATCTACAATCTAACAAAATAATGTACTCTTGCATGGGATGAGTACTTAGATGTATGCACTTGGAAGGTCACTGGTGTTTCAGTGGTACACATTTTTCCTTCATGTCTAGATAACTAAGGGAGAAAAGCTGTGTGATTCTGTAGCTACTATGAATTTTCCCCAAAATGCAGCTTCTTCAGACTCTGCCCTTGAGGGGTCGAATAGCTGCAATCATTGCATCAAGAAGCTACAGTGGAGGGAGAAATATGCAGCAGGAATGGTCTTATCAGCTCTGTCAGGAGGCCAGTTCTTTTCCTCCTTGAGCTGTTCCATTCTAGCTTGTCATTCCAAAACCTCTACCCAGCTTTGCTTTTTCTGGATCCATGGCAAGAAGATAGCTACAATTTTATAGGTTATGGCTAAAGAGCCTTAAGTCCTATGTAGGGATCCAGATCCATGCATCCTGTTTGCTAACAAATGAAAACCAGCCATTCAGCCTAACTGCTGGATAACTCTGGAAAGACCGTTGTGGGAATCCACATGAATGGATGTCACTGCAGGACTCCCTGTCATCTGAGTGTGAAGTAGGAACACCTGCTTCCAAGCTGGGTGTACCCCCAAGGTCCCTTGAGCAAAATGCTCCTCAGGCTAACTGTTGTGAGGGACTGGCTGTTTGTTTGTTTTTTCTCTCTCTTAGTGTGCTGGGGGCAACCCATTGGTTATCACTGTTTCTTTCCTGGAAGTTGTCCTGAAAACAGTAGAAGCTGGCTTGGAAACTATCACTGTCCCTACCACCACATGGAGTAGCAATGGTTTAAGGGGATCCTAGTTGGATCTAATAAACCTAATGGATTCTGCCAAACTAGATCTACATTTCTCGCTAAAGCCTCATAAAGCTGTGACAAAAATACAGCAAAGGCAAGACAACCAACATTTCTATATGAAAAGATAGATGGCTGGGTTGAGGTCCAGTCAAAGACTGAGGCTAGTAGCTTTGAACATTATTTTATTTGGCTAGCAAGTGGACCTGTGTGAAGCCTATGCCTGGCTTCTATCCCCCAGTCTGCTCCATTGTATTCTATAAGGCAGCTTTCCCACCTTCCTTTCAAAGCCTGACAAAAAAATGTACAGCAAGAAGAAGCCACACCGTTTTGAGAAGACAACCCCCATGTCTCCTGACTGCCGTGACATGTAAACCATGCTCCTAGTAAATCGGGATCCTTGTTTTCTTTTATATCTCATCATTCAAATAATCCTGAAGTGGTAATCTCTCTTGTTTTTATTGTGGGCCTTTTGACTGAAAAAGGGAGTTGAAATGCTTTCAATAAATATATAGGATGTTTCAAAAAGATGGACCCAATTTGAAGCATATATTGATTTGAATTAGGGTCCATCATTTGGAAACGCCCTTGTATAGCATTCTTCACCTTAGCTAAAACAATTAGATGACACAACATTTTAGTTCTTAAATGCTTGAAGAGATGGCTAAACCAAAAATTTCAAAATGGAGGTCCTACAGTATTTTTTGACACGGGGTTTTCCTAGTTTTGTCACCAGCAAAACAAAAGCAAACTGCAGTGATTTAAGACATGCACAAATATGTCTCCTTGCCACTGCATACTCATTTTACACCCATTTAGCTATGTGTTACCAAGCAGAAAATAAAGAGAAAGAATAACATAAAAAATAAACAAGTACATCACTTTACCCCTTGGTGACCCAACAGACCTTTGGCTTCAGTCCATTGGCTGCTAAACAGAAACTGTCTAATATGCAGACAAATAGATCTTTGTGAGTTCAAGCCACTGTGCCTTGTTTCAATAATTAAATTTGAAAACCCAGAGGTATAACTTGTTGGCAACTGGCTATTTTAAATGTTTAAATGATGCAGTACTTGAAACAACATGGCCAATGACATACCAAAGCACTGGGGTCACTAAGATGGGTGTCAACCAGTGTGGTAACTCATGGTGTCGTCCACAAGTGAGCCGATGTCACAGGGCAAGGAAACAAAGTATTTTCCCCAAAGAGAACTGAGGCAACTATTAAGGGTTTAAAGCACAGATGACAGAATGGGAGAGGGACTTTCCTTTGTTCCTCTTCTACAAGCAGAAGAGGAACAAGAAGGATGGCTTGATTTTTTGTTAAAAAATTATACCTTTCCATGGCCCCACACCACCTTCTTTTCCCTTTTTCATGATTTTGTCACTATTGAAGAAAATTAATTAAGAACATCTTTGGTAGAAAAACACAGTAAAATTGTAAAGCTGTGGCTTTAATACACCTTTATTTTTTTCAATCCCAAACAAACTAATCTGAAAGGCATCTGTCATTTAAATGTGTAACTCAAAGGTGAGAACACTGCATGCGTCAGATGTAAAGATTTTTTTTCTTCAGTTACCTAAAACACAAAAATTAAATAGAAGTATATAGATTAAAAACTGTAAACATTAACTGCTGGATTCATTTCTGTTTAGAGAAATATTTCCATGGATAGAAGAGTGCAAAGAAGTGCTGAAAATGGTTAGAGAATGCTATCTTTGATAACTGTTAAAATACAAAGGATTTTGTCCAGTAAACGTAACTGGGAGGGAGAAGAACAGCTCCCTTTTCCTTATGCCAGGTTGAACTCCTTCAGATTTATATTCAGGATGGTGTCTTTCACAGCAGCAAAGACAAATCGAATGTTCTCTGTGTCAGTGGCACATGTAAAATGGGAGTACATCACTTTCTCTTTGTCTGGATTCTGCTCCTGGTATAAATTCAGAATGAAGTCTTTAGCAGCTTTGACATCTTGCTTTGGACCTGCTCAGAAGCAAAACATTTGTTTGAAAGACAATTCTTACTATTTGGCCTTTTTGTTTGTTTCTGAATAATATTGTTAGCATATGCAGTTACTTAGAGCCAGCATGATATTTGTGCATTGGACTATGACTCTAGAGACCACCATTCAAATCCCCACTCAGCTGTGAAAACCCATTGGGCCTGTCTTCACACCTGCCAAAATAATCTGGAATAATGTCATCCGGAGCTGCCCCGAATACAACATGGGAATGCCCTGGAGCCCTTTTTGAGTTCAGACACCTGGCCAAGCTGACAGCGCATTGGGGCGGCCACTGCAACAGCTGTTTCACCAGCCAAAAGCAGCTTCCCTGCAGAGCCTTGCAGGTGATGTCCTTTCTGGTGAGATGAGAACCACGCGATCAGCAGGAGTAACGTCACCAGTAATGAAAACCCAAAAATATAACTTTTTGGTCTTGTTTGATGAGCCTTGTTTAAGATGTAGATACTAGACTCAACTAGATCCAGCCTGATTCAGTTGTTCTACACTTCAAAAACACCAGGGTCACTCCAAAGCTTCCAGGATGTTCCAGATAATTTGCAGTTCCCCTTGTGCAGATTAACAGTAGAAACAGTACCTCTTTTGCAAAACTGGCCATATAGACTACCTGCAGCAGTTGCAAAGTGAGCCTGTTTTATTTGGCCCATGTAGACATGCCCAGGGTGAAAAGCAAAGGCAAGTCCTCTTTGAACAAATCTTGCTAAGAAAACCCATGATAGGTAACCTTTGGGTTAGCATGAGTCATAAATGACTAGAAGCCATAGAACAAACACAGTGGATTTGCTTATATTTGGGCAACCATGCTCAGACTTGCTAGTGCAAGGATACATTAATTTCCTGCAGCAGTATACTACTGGGCTCAATGTCTGGCAAATGCTGTTGCTGTTAAGATGAACTGCATTGACTATTATATCTGCATTGTCACAAGATGTGCCCTGAAAGTGTGTCAGACAACTGAAATGTGTGATATATTGACCATTATATTAGAACAGGAAACTTGTTGGCCTTCAAATGAAGTTGGATTGCAGCTCCCATGATCCCACACAATTAAAGACAATGGCTAGGAGTGATGGGAGTTGCAATCCAACAAAATCTGAACCTCTTCTCCTGTTCTTGATGTAAGTCCAGCAAATAGATTTTCATTCTGCAGCCACTGCTTGTCAAAGAGTAACACCTGGAAAGATCATTTTACCTGTGAACTGTGGGAAATAGGTGACTAAATCAGAATACATAATCTTCTCTTCTAAAAGATCCTTTTTATTTAAAAATAAAATGACTGATGAATTTGCAAACCAAGGGTATGTGATGATTGTTTTGAATAAGGCCTTGCTTTCTTCCAAACGATTCTGCAAGAAAATATATATATGGTTAAAATGCTTTCTGACAATACTGTTAAATGTTCAAATTAAAGTTCTTTTTAAACCCATTATTTTCTATCCAATTTTATAGCCAGGTATGTGTTTCAAATTTAATTACTCCTAAACAAGTTAACTAGTTTTACAGGAATGTGAAACCATCCCAGGTCAAGGCAAACCTCACCAATCATGGGTTCAGGGAGAGCGTTACACCAAAAACCAAAAAGGAGAAAAAGAGAGTCTGAACAGGAAGTATCTGTAACATTAAGAATCACCTCTTTTTGAACCCAATTTTTTATCATACAAAAAAATTAAGAGTTTGAATGATATGGAGGTTTTATTTTGTTTATTCCTACTATGTAGACCAGAGGTTCTCACGGCATGCTCCGTGGAGCTCTTGGGGCTCCGCGAAGCATACTGAGGGGCTCAACAGTTCCCTCCTCCCCAAGCTTTCCTTCCTCTTTCCTGCTCCTCCCCTCCCCCACCTCCCTTGCCCCCAAAAGTCTTTTTTCCTCACTTCCCTCACCCCAGAAGTCTTTCTGCTTGCCTCCCTTGCTGCCAAAAAGCCTTTTTTTCTCACTTTCCTTACTGTGCATACCCTTTCCCCCTTGCATTTCTTGCTTCCAAACCCCCATTTCCCTGCCATTGTTCACTGTGCTTTTCCTGCATGGCAGAAAGGGGTTGAAATGGATGTCTCCTGGAGTCTTCCACTGAAATACTGTTAAGTTTATGTTGGTCTGAAAGTTTGTCTACACACACACACACACACATTATATATAATATGATATGATAACATTTATTGGAGCTCCACGAGAAATTTTTGCTTCAAAAACTGCTCTGTGGCTGACAAAGTTTGAGAACACCTGATGTAGACTATTTAATTACTGTATTTTCCAGCATATAAGATGACTGGGCGTATAAGACGACCCCCAACTTTTCCAGTTAAAATATAGAGCTTGGGATATACTCACCCTATAAGACGTCCCCTCTTCCAACGCACACCAAATAAAAAATTTAAAAACATCAGATTTGATTTCAATATGGTAATTTTCCTATTACTGTGCCTCTTTTTCTCAGATTTCGCACATGCGCACCTGCACTGCTTCACTGCAGTCTTCGGGAGCGAGATCTGAGAGGCAGAGGAGGAGGTACGATAATAGGATACAAGGGTGGGCCAGACAGGTAAAAGAGGTGGGTTTTTCTGGGCCCAGAGCCACTCTTATCTCTTTTTTCCGTACCCTGGGCGCCCTGGACACCTGCTTGCTCCGCCCTTCACTTACACCTTCCCGGTGAGGCACCCCTTCACCTTACCTTTGGGACAACATTAAGTCCACGAATCCTGATGAATGGATTTTCTTCTACCGTACTTGTACAGCATCACCCTTAATGCTTTCATACAGTCGCTGCATACGACAGGGAAGCGGTCACTGCCAGTTTTGAGCTCCCCCACCATATGCAGCAACCACAGATTCTCCAATCTGGATTGGAAGTTTCAGTACCCACTCTATAAGACAACTATAAAACTACTCCCAGCATATAAGATGATCCCCACGTATAAGGCTACTCCCCCATATAAGATGACTCCTGACATTTGCGAAGATTTTCTTGGGTTAAAAAGTAGTCTTATATCCCAGAAAATATGGTAGACAGAATAAATGGCACATGATTTCATATAGCAGTTTTTCAGTCTTATATATATCAGCATCAGATCATTGTTACATGAGGCACAACTGCAAAACAGATTCAGTATCTGTCAACACCAATTCTCCATCCATGTAGACTTCTGTCACACTCCATTCTACTACAGCAGTGGTTCTTAACCTGTGGGCCATGGACCACCAGTGGGCCGTGAGAATGAAAATCTGGTCCAAAAACCTCCTTCCTCTTTATTTATTTATTTATTTTATTTCCACTTCTTTAGTGCCGATTGCCACTCCTTCCATTGCATATGTTCTGTATCAGAAACTAGAGCTGATGTGGAATATTCAATGCAATTTTCTGAATCAACACCCCAAACCAAATCGAAAGTTGACCAAAAACTGATTCGTAACCCTTTTGGTAGTAATGTTAGAGAGTGGTCCCTGGTCAAAGTGGTCCGGGGCAAAAAAAGGTTGGGAACCACTGTATTACAGGAATAGAGAACCTTTGGTATCCAAATATTTTGACCTAGAACTTCCATCATTCCCATTTAATATGACTGGAATAAGGGACTATATCATTCTAATCCAAAATATCTGGAAATCCAAAAGTTTCAGTTCTCTCTTTGAGATGATCATCCCCATATACTCTGAACAGAAGCCAAGCTTCCCGGCAGGCATGCCTTAATATAGGTAACATCATTTACAACAATAAAATACTCTCATCTGAAATAACTAAGAAAACTATTTTTGCTTTACCTCATTGTCAGATTCTGCCAAGACTTGGTCATATTCACTCAAGGCAACTAAGAATATTATGGAAGTAACACTTTCAAAACAGTGAATCCATTTCCTTCTTTCTGATCTCTGTCCACCGACATCTACCATTCTGTAAATAGAAACTTAAGTGACTAAGTGCAAACTTCAAGTGAAAATCCTAAGCTGGAGAAATTTTTTCTTTGCTATGTGGCAGTAAATCCACTTTTGGTTTTATGTCTTTTCCTTCCCCAGCTGTTCTGAGTGCTGGACCCTATCTTTTCTGAGTTTAGCACTAGCAGAGCTTCCTTCCAGCCCTGAGCAGCTTCAAAAGGAGCCCCTTTAAAGACAAAGATATTCTAGATGTATTAGGTGTTGGGGCAGGGATGGACAACCCAAGCTAGCAGCTCAAGAAAGCATAATTAATGGGAGCTGCAATCCAATAACATCAGTAGGCCCATACAATTTCCATCACTGCCTCATTCCCTAGTACACTGGGTGACTATATCCCACATTAAGATGGTGGAAGTTATGTTTGCTACAGCTTTTAGAGGAATGGGTTAAACCGCTGAGCTGCTGAACTTGCTAACCAAAAGGTCGCAGGTACGACTCCGGAGAGCGGCGTGAGCTCCTCCCGTTAGCCCCAGCTTCTGCCAACCTAGCAGTTCAAAAACATGCAAATGTGAGTAGATCAATAGGTACCACTCCGACAGTAAGGTAACAGTGCTCCATGCAGTCATGCTGACCACATGACCTTGGAGGTATCTATGGACGATGCCAGCTCTTCAGCTTAGAAATGGAGATGAGTACCAACTCCCAGAGTCAGACACGACTGGACTTAATGTCAGAGGAAAACTTTTAAACCTATACCTTTGATGATTCCCACTGCTGTCTAAGACATCAAGTACCAGGCTGATGATACTGTAAGTTTTCTAGAGAGGAGATTTCACATTTGGAAATCTGAGATGTGCACAACAGCCCAGGATAGTCTGTTTGGAAGATGAACAGGACTGAAGACATCTCTTGCATATAACTTCCTAGCGGTCTACAAATTCAAACACAATTAGGGCAACATCATGTGCCAGATGTGTATTTGCCATCCATTTGGCGTTGACTTCTGGCAACCCTATGAATGAGATACCTCTAAGACACTTTTCTATTAACAACTCTGCCAAGAGTTGACAGATTCAAGATTGTTGTCTTTCTTATTGTACATACTTTTATTTATTTATTTATTTATTTATTTATTTACTTTACTTTACTTTACTTGTATACCGCAGTTTCTCAGCCCAACAGGCGACTCAACGCGGTTTACAACAAGGATATATAAGTCAACCTCATGTATTAGTAGAGGACAGGTTTGGGGGACTGTTTGTTGTTTTTGAGGGGGGCAGATTAAGCTTTTGCCTTTCACCACTCTATTCAGAGAAGAGGATGGTTCTTTTCTTTTTTATATAAGAGTTGACTTACTGTATCTACAACAGCCTGTGGATAAGTCAACCCAGGTTTTGGGAGTAAAACTTGGGGGTAAGTCTATCCACTTGTAATGTGGTCTCCCACATTTGATTGTGGCACTGAATGTTTGCCTCTTTGTATGTAAACCACCTCAAGTCCCCTTGGGGAGAGAGGGTGGACTATAAATAATAATAATAATAATAATAATAATAATAATAATAATTTATTATTATTATTATTATTATTATTATTATTATTATAGTTTAGTTTATTATTAGTTTATTATTAGTTTAGTTTTAGTTTAGTTTCACAATCCTGTGTGTTTTTATGAGCTCCCTGCAAATAACTTGCTCCTATTTTTATCTCATTAGAGTTTTTTTAACAGTTTATCCTGTACAAGTGGCCTGTTACTGTGACTCTGTTTATTGTAATGTTATTTTGTTATTGTATTCATGTGTTTTTTAAATATAATTTTGATGATGTTGCTTGTTGTTTATGTTTTGGTTTTATTTTGATGTAATATGTTGTCTGGGCTTGGCCCCAGGTAAGCCGCTCCGAGTCCCCATTGGGGAGATGGTGGCGGGGTATAAATAAAATTATTATTATTATTATTATTATTATTATTATTATTATTATTTCTTCTACCTTCAACTGACAAGCATAATTTTTTAATCAGGCATGTCATCTCATGATATGTTCGCACTATGACCTATCCATGATTTGTTGCACAGAATGCTGAGGACTAAAACGAAGAGATGGCCTTATAGGATGCACATTACTAGTAATCTAGTATCTAGTAGGCATGGTTTAGGTTCAGTCGGAATCTTCTTAATTCGGAATAAATTTGGAAATATTTCTTTTTTGAAGCAATTTTGAAGTATTTAAGGAAACTGGAAGTCCCTTTGCCCTTCAGCAGCTTTTTCCGCAATTTCTGTTACGAAGCAGTAAGTGAGTCGGAAATGATCCAGCTTTTCCCTGCTTCTGGTCCCTGACCCTGGCTCAAGCCAGAGAAGCCGTTTTAAACCTGAGTGGATGAATTTCCTCCCTTTCCTCCCCCTCCCCCCCGCTTCTGTCTCAAGCCTGGGAAGCCGTTTTAAACCAAAATGGATGAATTTCCTCTCTTTCCTCTCCCCTCTCTTCTGTCTCAGGCCTGGGAAGCTGTTTTAAACCAGAGTGGATGAATTTCCTCTCTTTCCTTTCCCCCCACTTCTGACTCAAGCCTGGGAAGCCGTTTTAAACATGAATTTCCTTCCTTTACTTCTCTCTCTCCTCCCCCCCCCCCCCTGCTTCTTGAGTAAAAGAACTACTTTCAAAGTAAAGACCATGCAATGAAACAGGAAATAACACTTTCCAACCATTAAGGAAGGATTCAGAGGTCTCGGAAGTTTCAAAAAGTTTTGAACATATTTTTCTGTGAAAATCGGAATTGACTTTAGAATTGAACCACCAGTGCCCCCTACATCCAAAACGAGTTTTGAACCAATTTTTTTTGATCGAACAAGCCTAATATCTAGTAATTCAATACTATCACTCTATGCACTGTAGCTAAAGAGATAACCAAACTTACCTAAAAATAATATTTTCTAGCTCAAATGGATATTCAATAATTCCGGTGGTTGGTACTCTCACTCTGAGAACATCTTGCTCAGTTGGCAAAAATGATGGCATGGCAATACGGTCTAAGTCTGATAGGTAACTGCAGAGCCAAACACATAGTTGTAAAGCAGAGGCAATCAGAAAGCATTACCATAATTGAACTTAATATGCTCTACGTTGAAACTATAATATTTTCACCAAAAAATTAATACACAAGTCTAATGAGAGAAAGTATAGCATTTAAAACAGAACCAGCAATGACCTAGGGAATCAAAATGTTCTGGGTATGGAGGTGACAATGCTTAGTTCTGATTTAATTGCCTTTCTACAAATTCATTTAATTCCAACCTCATCCTGTTCATGCCAGATTTTCAGATATCAAAAACTTGTGCAAATCTGTATGTCATTTCTGTAATCTATACATTTGCACTTTTAATTATAATAATAATATAATAATAACTTTATTTTTATAACCCAACACACCTGTTAGGGACTCGGGACGGCTTACGTGGGACCAAATGTTCATAAGACAATAAACAAACAATCCATCAAATAAAAATACAATTAAAATAAGAACATAATCAAATGGAGCATTTGTCCAGTTAAAAACAAAGTTAAATAGACAGAAAAGTATAAACCATTAGCATTAAAACTCCATCCTATCAATATTATTATACATACATCTTTGTACACATGTCCCTCTAAAACCAACATGCATATGTACATTCTTCCATTTTATGAATTTCATCCATTTCCAATATTGAAATATGCATATATTTTGTGAATATAAAACACAGTACAAGCACTGCAGATTTCTGAAACAAAGAGTCTTGGAATATTGAAAAATGATCATTTCAACAAGAATTTTAAAAGAACCATCCCATGCCTAGACTTGGGCTTCATCCTTCTCCACCATAAGCAAAAAAAGAAAAATTTAATTATATGTGGCTGTTATAAAGATAACACAGTAATGTATATCAAGCTGTTTGAACACAAGAAGCATAATATAAATGCTTAACAATACTACTGCTGCCATTGTTTAATGTGTTTTATTTGAAATGGAATCCATTTTCATAAATCACATACTTTATGAAATATATTCATTAAAATGTAATTACAATAAACATATTGATCAAATATCATCTACTAAATGAATATGTAATCATGATTTTATTCCAGCTGCTTATTTTATGTTTTCATCTGCTCCACTATTAAAAGTTTATACATAGTTACATTTCCCACATCATGTTGCCCCAATTTGTTGAAATAGTAAGTGCCAAACATTTTTGAGAGATCAAAATAAATGCTAAGTAAGTATATATTATTAAATTCTATAAAAATTAACATTAATGGGCAACAATGCTATTTCCACTTAGAGGACAGTACAGCCATGCAACAGAGATATCAGGCATTGAATGTTTGCCTTTTATGTTTGAAATCTGCCCTGAGGGTGGAATATACATTTTTTATTATTATTATTATTATTATTATTATTATTATTATTATTATTATTATTTAACTAAGGCACACATCACCCTAGTCAAATCTCAACAGAAAGAGACAGATTGTCACTTTTTAAAGTTATGCATTGAACCATTGCCAATACTAGGCATCCAGGCTCAATTTGTTTTCAGAAGGCTTGAAACCCCAAACAGCATAATCTGGATCTATATTTCCACCTCTGCCTCTGGCTCACCAGAAGCACCTCTGTTTTATATACATTATGTTTCCACTTGTTCAACCAGTCTTCTAGGAATATAAAATACTGGTTTAGAATGAGAAGAACTTTGAGGGTTTTGATGGAAAAGAGAAATAGGAAAAAGATAATCGAGGGTCAACAATATATTGACAGCGCTCATATATTAGGAATAAAAATAAAAATAGCTGCTTAGAAATTCCATAACATGAAAATCAAAACCTGTTTAGAATTTTTATAAAAGCAAAACTGAAGTAGGCTCTTTCCCCTAGTGATAAAAAGACAAATGTAAATTCTGTGCAAAGCAAACACTCAAATGGATGACAATGAGATACAGGTGAAAACAATTGAGCAAGGAATCATTTCATAATAATTTGAAATATGGC